GTGCGTGCGTGCGTGCGTGCGTGCGTGCGTGCGTGCGTGCGTGCGTGTGTGTGTGTGTGTGTGTTTTAATTAGCGACGGAGATCTCAAAGGTGCAGCACGGCTTCTCTTCTGCCACGACGTCACCTCACCCGACAACCCTGACACTGTAACCGCCCTTGACAGCAAGCACCCTCCAGCTCCTGCAGCACCCTATTTTTTGGATCCACCCTGCCCTCCAAATTCTTGCCTTCAAGTCAACGAAAAGGACATTTCGTCCTTTACGCCCGGTTCCGCTGCAGGTCTCGACGGGTTATCACCTCAACACCTGAAAGACCTCACTTCGCCATCGCTCGGTGAAGTCACCAAAAGGCTGAGGGAAAACATCGCTGAGGTGATAAATCTGATGCTGCTGGGCAATGTGCACGCGGAGATAGTCCCCATCCTTTACGGTGCACATTTAATAGCCCTAACTAAAAAGGATGGCGGCGCCAGGCCGATTGCCGTAGGCAGCACATGGAGATGCCTCGCGTCAAAATTATGCGTTCGGAAAATCTCTCGCAACCTCAGTATCAGATTTATACCCGTTCAGCTCGATTTCGGCTTTAAAGGCGGTTGCGAAGCTGCTGTTCACGCTCTCCGTACTTTGCTTCACAAAAACTCGGGGGATAAGGTGCTGCTCAAGATCGACGTCAAAAACGTTTTTAATTCGGTCAATAGGGATCCTTTGCTGAACGAGGTAAAGCTACACGTGCCAGAGATTTACAATTGCCTCCTCCAATGCTATAATGAGCCCTCTAAACTAGTTTACAGGGCCAATGAACTATTATCTGCCGTGGGCTGTAAGCAAGGCGATCCTCTAGGGTCTGCCATCTTCAGTCTCGCCATCCATCCCATCATCCAAAATCTGCATTCAAATCTTAACGTCTGGTACCTAGATGATGGAACCCTAGGAGGCCCTGCAAATATCGTACTTTCGAACCTCAACCAAATCATCAACAGTTTTAACACCATTGGCCTCCAATAAAATTTTGATAAATGCGAACTTTACATCCCTCAATTTTATCCCAACAGTTATACAATCATTCCAAATTTTAATACCTTGCCCCTAACATTCGTCTCACCGACAAATCCAAGCTTACCCTCCTAGGTGCACCTATATTCGATGATTCAATTTCAGCCTTTTTCCAAAATTCAATCTCAAAGTTCAACTCGTGTACAGATAGGCTCCTGAGCCAAGACACCCACTACGCCATCTGTACTTTAAAATATTGCATTTTCGTTCCTGAATTTACATACGTACTTCGCCTCTGTCCGGCTTGGAAATTCCATAATCAGCTGATGTTAATAGATTTTAACCAAGAAGCTCTTCTTCAATCCATTCTCAACGTCCATCTCACCCACAATGCCTGGACCCAAGCTACCCTCCCCATCAGACACCACCATAGACCACCAGGTCTAGGCATCAAAAGTATATACTATACGTGTTCTATGTAGTTCAATTGATATAAAAAAATATGATATGACTGCCTCTGTGGCCGAACGGTTACCATGCCGGACTGCCACGCAGAGGTCACAGATTCGTATCCCGGGAGAAATATTTGTATGGTCGACATTTATTTTTCTCGTGAGTTTGGGTGTAATTTGTGGTTGTCTATGTGTGTGTCCATGGCGCCCGCGACACAGGGTTTTTCTAGTGCGGGGCTATGTTGAGTGTATACGTTATTATTATTATTATTAAAAAATGATTAGTATATGTAATGTACCTAATGAATATAGGTAATGTATTTGTTAATAAAATTTCGAGGTAAGTTTGTGCTTTTTTATAGTGAAAATTTTTAGAAATCGTATTTTCACACCGTATAGTCATTTGAGGTAGTAGGTTTTTAATAATAATAATAATAAAAACTAGTGGAAGCTATTTCACAAAAAATATCTCAATAACACAAATGTCTTATACAGTTTACTGCACATCACTACCCTCGAGCAATTTGTGGCTCATTTACACGCAAAAGCTCTCAGTACGTTGTGGAAGTTTAACAAGCGCTACTGCTTATGCGGTGACAATGATCTTTTTGTTCATGCAGCTGGCACCATACAAAGTATCTTGACATTAATCGAGTTTCTTTCTTTCTTTCTATCGAGTTCTCGGGTTTTCGCGAATGTTACACAGAAATGACATTATTTTTTTAATAATTGCAATTCTTTTTTTTTTGGTAAACAGAAATTAAACTAAGCTTAGTTGGTATAGCGTCTGACACGGTTTGCTAGAAGACGTCGGTTCGAATCCCGGCCGAATCTAAGGAATTTTCTCTAACCGCTCACGCGATACATGCAGCCGTAGACGCATACCACACCTAGAGGTGCCGGTGATTATTTTATACCGATTTATCGGATATCGAAGTTATAACAGGTAAAAGAACTAATATTAAGTGCTATTTCGGTAACTACTCTAGCAAACCATAAAGTTTTTAATGCCTGGGTTTGTCATTTAAAAAAAATAAACAACTTCAAAAGTACGTCACGACAATCGTGTGTGTTATTGTTTGGGCTGGTGATTTCGGTCTTTATTTATTGAAAACATACCGTAAGAGTGTTTTTTAAGTTTACTCTGAATATAAATGTTTATAAACTACACTTTAAGGAGTAATTTCATGGTAAACGTTAGAACCACTCAAACGGAATATTATCATATTTATCAAAGTACACCAAAAATTTCATTAGTGCTTTTTAAGTGCAGAATTTGCGGTGTATTACACGGAATATCATCATATTTATCAAAGTACACCAAAAACTGAATTAGTGAGTTTTAATTGTAGGATTTTCGGTGTATTACTGCATTTTATTTGAGATGTTTTTGTTGGTAGTACGGAGGGTATTTATTTAGCAATGCAAGAATAATAATTTTTATTTATAAAAACTTGTATTTAAACTGAATGCTTTTCTAATTTGCGAAACCAAATAGCCGCCATTTTGCCGCAGGAGGAGCGCATCGCGTGAGCGGGTGTTCGATCTTTGTATTAATGATTATATAAACTAGTGGAGTAATTTCACAAAAAAATAATTGAATATCAATTCAATATAAATTTAAGTGTGTTTTTTTCTGTATCGTGAACGTTTTTAGGAGTCGTGTTTTCACACCATATAGTAACCAGTATATATCCTCAATTTTACTATATATTTTTTCCAATGTGATTGATTCAACACCTTCACAGTTATGCGGAATCAACCAAAAGCCATTTGTGGTTGTATAGACTATTAAGTATCATGTTAAGTTACTAACTTAGTTTAAAAAGCACTTGCTCGCTTCGTCCTTTTCGTATTAGTTCCGAACCCGAGAAATTACGGTCCGAAATTTCGCGGGGATTTTTTATCTGTAAGTGTGCAAGTGGTTTCCTATTTTCTCGGATACGAATCGGTCTTACGTTAGGCCTGCAGTATATTATTATTAATATTATACATAGGAGACAATCATGCACTCACACACTCATGTACTTACATACATCTCACATACATTTACACACAGCACATGGGACTAAAGTACCGGCACACTATGATGGCCGTTTTGACATTTGTCCGCTCATCAAGTTTCGTATTAATTCGTAACTACGTTGAAGGAGCTAATTAATGCACATCGTTGTCAATAGTGACGTGCAATAAAATTTGTGGATGTATAATTTTGCCTTACAAGTCGGCATTTGTTTTTCGAAATTTTTAAAAATGGAATCTAATACGATCGTCACCATCGAGTATTTAACCAGAAATAGAGACGAAATGTCATTTAATTTGTTTGAAAACTATTCTGCCATATCATTACTGTGACAACTGCGCTCCGATTGGCCAGCGCGAATTCGAAATACTTGCGGGTGTCGTCAATGGGTGTCGTCAACTGTTTCACTTGAAATCGACCAGTTAACTAACTAAAATTTTTATATTCGTTTTGTCAAAACTTTTTAATCAGCTACCCCTTGCAATACTATAGTCGTAATCAATAAGAGGCCAAATTTGACAGCAAAAGAAGGCGATAGTATGTAACTTTGAATGCGATCAACGAAACAATAAACAAACAATTATTCGCATAGTTGAGTTGAAAAAAATACATAAATTTTATTGGAACATTAAATAATATGACAAAACTTATGTGAAGTACTGTTTTTGCAATTTTCCAAAATAAAATGCAATTTTGAGTTACTCCGAAACACCCTGAAAACAGTTACGTCCTCAAGCTATTTTTTTAAATAATAGTGTTGTAAGCAATTAATCGCCGAATTTCACGGATTTACTTTGATTTCTCGGAAAAA